TCTGGTGTCAGCCTCTTCCTGGGTTAACTTAACAGCAACTCCTCCACAGCAGTAGACGCCATGCTTGCACCAGCCGACTTGACAATAATTATTATGCACTCTTGGCCCGCAGTGACAACCAGTTCCTTGCCTGGGGGCACCTTGTTCAGGTTGTCCGGGAGCTGCCACTTCACCACCAAAGAATGCCACAAGATCCTCTTTGTTGCTACCAACTGATAGGTACTTAGAGAGAACTGCTTTGGCGTGCTCTGTTTCCCTCTACATTTTCCTCTTCGCCATACATACATGTACATTGTACATGTATATCCATTAGATCACCATTGGTCACAGATTGCTCTATTCATTTCTAACTCTTTTCTAAAAGGCTTTATAGATGTCACATGTACACTGGTCACCAATATATTTGTACAATTGTCGGTGTATGCATGCATATTTAATTACGTATGTACAGTGATGTATAGTTGCAGTAGATCCGATTTTATAATTCACCTTTGAGGCCTGAAGTTTATTTGTTTTCAGTCAAACTTGGCCAACCAGTCATACGTATTGGATATGTTTATATCCAGCAGGAATGTTGTCAAAAGATTGCATAGTTCTCCTGTAAATTTGAATTAACTGATTTGTTGCCATGGCAACCATCATCAATTCTTTCTACTTCATTGTATGACCTTCCCGATGGAAATTTTGATTGAATGGCATACCATCTTGCAGCATTTTGAAGATACTTGACACTCAAATCGCAAAAAACTTGGTGCCCTCTCACTCGGAACGAAATCTATTAGACGTGACTTTTTCCTAACTTGGCCCCCGGACTACTACCTTCCTACGGTGTGGAAAAAGTGCCAGTCCATCAAATGGCACATTCTTCGATCGAGTGGGGACGCGCGCATGAGGGCGCTGTACACTCTGCGTCGGAGTAAGGATGTGAAGCTGACAAAGCGGTATGCGGCGACAACAGAGCTGGAGTGTGCAGAGGCATCAGTAGGTTCAGGGACTCTCCGTCGACCGTCATCGTCAAGTCATCGTGCAGGGTTGGGTGCTCGTGCTCCGAAGTAGCATTCCAACCCCCCGAGGAAGGATCTCCTTCAAACATTTGAGGAGATCAACGCGCAGGAGCAGATTTTGAGGCTGAAGACTCTTCAGGTGCAAGGCAAGTGGTTGGAGTGGACATCGGTGATGTGGCAGGACCTTTCGTGGAAATCCCTTTTGTACGGTGGTACTGGTAAGGATTTGAAATTTCTTCTCGCGTCAACCCTCGACGTGCTACCTTCTCCGACGAACCTACGCCGTTGGGGAAACTCGGTAGTGGACCCTCGTAGTTTGTGCCGTGCCTAGGCCTGTACGAGTACTACGCGCCAAGTGTTTGGCGCTTGTCGCGTAGCGCTGGACCAGGGACGTTACCTACACCTGGACTGGAGTTTTTCGATTTTGACAGCATGTTACAAGGCGAGGACGCGTAGTGCTCCTGACTACAACCATAACCCGGGTTGTGGTTGTAGTCAGGAGCACTACGCGTCCTCGCCTTGTAACATGCTGTCAAAATCGAAAAACATGTTAAACTACCAAGCAAGGCTTCTGTATATACCTGGACTGGAGGCACGACAACCAGGGAGCCCTACACATATGTGTAGGGCTCCCTGACGACAACGACGGGTCATCGTCTGGAACATGCGTGAGGAGATTCGAATCCGCGCTGCCGCAAACACCGTACAAACCGAAAATTCAAATGGGCTTGACTTCATCTCGTTTTGCAAGGCGGGAGAGAAGCCAGTTCGCGTTCAGCCCAGACGAAAGTAAGTTGGGTACGACTGATCTCCTGTGAGCGGCCTCAGACTGGAAACTTCTTGTCGACTCAGTTAGTGCAAAGATTTCTTTCCCTAAGCTGTGTTGCACTTACCACCCTGAGACCACCAGATTATAGAATATAGTTCTGTACTCTACGAGTCGTAGGATTGTATTCTGGATGGAGTTGACAGTTTGTGCTGAGGACAGATGCAGTGTCAGTAACTCGCGGAAGGACAGGCGGTATGCGGATCTGGCCGATCAATGCCGAGCAAACGGGTGGCAGGTCGTTTCTTTTTCGGTTGAGGTAGGTGTGCGTGGTTTCATCCCGGACTCTCTTCGGAGGGCTCTGAAAGCGCTTGGATTTTCTAATCGAAGAATACAATTTATTTGTAATTTGTGCAGTAAGACGTCTCTGCGAAGCAGCTACATCATCTGGTTGCGGCGTCAACAAAAACACTGGTCGGAAGATCCACTTTTCTGAGGTACTGTATGTGGGGCTCCGTTTATTGAGGTGCGTTGAAATTTATTCTCTTTATCTTATTATTTCTTTTCTATAATTTCCCCATATGAGTTCCTATCAGTTGCTGTGAACACCTTGAGTGGAGAGCGCTTGCTCGAGCGTTGAACCGGGTTCTTAATCCACCATACCCAGTTCGCCACCAACGCATATGGCCGATTGGTTTGCAGACCTGCCTGCGAATCATGAGGTCCCGAGTTCAAGACCCGCGCTGGTAGCAGAGAGCGTGTAAAAAGACTTTTTACGCGTGTTGAACTGCGCCGACACCCACGGTCAACTGGGTACTCACAGCTCGGAGTGAGAATAACAAGGATGCAGTTTACAGGGTTATGGGCCGTTACACGCCCGATTGGTTGAGAGACTAACCTCCTCTCCCCTGACTCACTTGTGAGGTCTGCATTCGCCACTAAGGTTAAAGCGGGATTCGCAGAAGCTTTTTTGCGATGGGACACGCGATGCGACAGCCGCGAAACCAGGAAATCCCCAAATCGCAACCATCGCGGACCCCACGCAACTGCCGCAACAGGGCCATCGCAGGCCATCGCAGAAGTTGAGCTTGGCTCAACTTTTGCGATGCGATGCGATGCGACAAACGATTTGGCGTACGATTTTGACCTTTTCTACAGCAAAGTTGTACAAAGGTTCAAGAGTTGCCTATAAATTTGTACAAGTTGTATCAAACCGCGCAAATATCATGGTGACGTAGCCAAATCAGCAAGATGTTGTCGCAGCACTGACTTCTTCTGTGAATGGTATTTCGCGAGTTCGCATCGCACGCGTCCGTCGCAGACCGCGTCGCATCGCGTGTCGCATCGCAAAAAAGCTTCTGTGAATCCCGCTTAACAGGCATAGTGATGGCCTGCGGATGCGAAGGCTAGTTTGTGTGTTTCTGAACATTCAAGCGATGCCGACGCGGATCCCGCGAATATTATACTCAGTTCGCAAGGCTGGGCGGGGCTGTGAGCAGGCTTTCATTTCATCTTTTCTTATTATTTCTGCTTTTCATCTCATTACAAAAATTCTGCGCATTTTTCTCCATCTGCGCATAAAATCTAGACTAACAACCTGCTTGTTAAATCATGCACCTGCTTTCAGGCGTAAAAACCCTGTTGTAGAGGTCTCAGTCCTCATTTGTTAGACTTACCTGTCTTTATAAATGTAACTTACTCTCTCTCCCTCCCTCCCTCCCTCCCTACCTCCCTCCCTCCCTCCCTCTCTCCCCCCCTCCCTCCCTCCCTGCCTCCCTCCCTCCCTCCCTCCCTCCTCTCTCTCTCTCTCTCTCTCTCTCTCTCTCTCTCTCTCTCTCTCTCTCTCTCTCTCTCTCTCTCTCTCTCTCTCTCTCTCTCTCTCTTTCTCTCTCTCTCTCTCTCTCTCTCTCTCTCTCTCTCTCTCTCTCTCTCTCTCTCTCTCTCTCTCTCTCTCTCTCTCTCTCTCTCTCTCTCTCTCTCTCTCTCTCTCAGCCTCCACACTACACTACACATTTTTTCAATCTCTTTTGTTTCTCTTCCCCTTTCTTCCCCCCAATTCTCTGATGCCTGAAGTAGGCGCGGATGCCGAGACCATTGGTTGGCGAAGTCTACAGCACCCCCTAGCCACAGCTGCCTTGCATTGCGGCTGTGTTTACACGACAAAGATTAAAAACGATTTGTGTTTACACGACAACGAAATACGACCTAAACGGAACGAAATCATTGCGTTTACTACTATCGTTTACACGACAACGCCCGAAAACGATACCTAAACGGAACGAAATGGAAACGCACTTCAAAATGTTTTGAAACGTTTTCAAAATGTTTTCGTTCTCGTGTAAACGGTGAAAACAGTGAAAACGGAGCGCGGTCATGGAAACCATTCCGCGCTGGAGTATATTTCGCGGGAAATACCCAACCCTTGCGACCACCAGCACGTACCAACTCCAACTAACGTGTTACTTCCCGCCCTTGCGTCAAGCCAGCACGTGCTAACCCCTTTTCCGTTTTCGTGTAAACGGTTCCAAAACGATTTGCCGTTCTCGTGTAAACGGTTTGAAAACGGTTCTAGGCCAGCCCGTTTTCGTTCTGTTTCGTTTCGTTTCATTTCGTCTCCGTGTAAACGCAGCCTAAGGGCCGATTCCCACTACGGTACCGTGAGTACCCATGGTGATTTGCTCACGTGAGGGGCAGTTTTGGCGCAAGTTCATACCGTGGCTCCTGCCGTACCGCGCCGTGGACATTCCGGTGCCGAGGGCCTCTGGGGGGTGAAAATGGCATGCCGTGGTATTCCGCGAGGTCGAATGCAGTGATTAGTAGGTATTTTACTACTCCCTGAAAGGAAGTTTTTTCTTTCTTTTGTATTTGTGGTACGACGTTTTTTCTTGGCTTTTGGCTAGTGCTGAAACGAGTACTCTATAAGCTATCGAGCGAGTACTGTCACTATCGAGTCGAGTATCGAGTACTCTATAAGCACACATGCGCATATATGTCAGTACCACATACCCAATTTTTTGCACACCATTTATGCAATTCAATATCCTTTAATAAAAAATTTCATTGCAAAGCCACCTGGATAAAGCTATATTTTATAACCGGAACAGAATATGTAACAGAGACATGTTTAGATGGCGACAGTTGATAGTTAAATAAATAATAACTCAATAGCAACAATCAAGTGCACATTCTATTCATGATTCCAGCTTGCCGTCCAAATTATCATGAATCATTCATGACTGCAAGCTGGGCAGAGGCGGCATATCATCTTCAGCGGTAGGGACTAGCACCATGGCAGGTAATGCTCGTGCAATGCCTTCCTTCCTGATCCTCAGTAGGTGTGCATTGCAATGGAGGAAGATCAGTGCATCGATGCTAGTGCTCGACAACGAACAACGCCGCTTGTCCACCAGATAGCCGGCAAATGAAAAGACCCGCTCCGATGGTACGCTGGTTGCCGGAATACACAGGTAGCGCTTGGCTTGTGCAGCAAGCCGGGGAAAGCGGCTGGCGTTAGCATTCCACCACACCAACGGATCCACAGCTCGGCGGACGACCTTCTCGTTGAGGTACAATTCAACCTCTGCCTGGATCGACTCATCATTTTCGTTCTCACCTCCCAGGAGATCATCGAGAACTGACGCTGCTGAGGGAGCGTCCGGACAATGGCGTTTTGCTGAAGGTGAGGATACCTGGCACCCGTCATCGGACTGACAATCAACAGCAGCTGCACTGATCAGGGCATCCTTTACGCCAGCTCTGCATGCATTGGTCATGCACTTCAAGTCGCGAAAGCGGGGATCAAGCGCTGTGGCCATGGCATAGATACTTGTTGAACGTGTTGAGTCCAGTTCAAACCGGCGGTTGACATTGTTACCGAGTCGACTTTTGGCGGTTGTGACAAGCAGTGGCTCGTCGTCATCAGAGTTGAGGTCGTCACAGAAAGTGCAGAGGGAGGAGAGAAGAGGCAGATGCCACGACAGCGTTGAGTATTTCTCCCCACCCAGATGCTTGGTGACTTCATCGACGCAGCTCAATGCAGCCAGGAGCAACTTGGCTGTTGTCCATTCAGTGACAGTCAAATCCAGGTTCTGGCGAGCCTTGTCCGGCATGTCAGCAAGGACAAGCTGTATTGGTGTTCTCAGCTCCACCAGTCGCGCAAGCATCAGGTATGCGGAGTTCCACCTTGTGGGGCAATCCTGGATGACATGCTTCACTGATGACATCTTCAGCAAGCGCTGCTTCTCCTCAAGCTGACCCGTCTTCAAGGCAGAATGACGGAAATGACCAACAAGATGTCGAGCTCTAGAGAGCAGGGTCTCCAGGTCCGTCATCTGCAGGGCATCTTTCACTGCATTCTGCAAACGGTGAGCACTACAGGCACAGCTCCCCCAACCATGGCGCTCCAGCAAGATCTTCCCAGCAAGCTCAGCGTTGGCAGCCTGGTCGTGTACAACTGCACATACTTTCTCTGCAGGGACATCAAATCGAGACACTGCGTTCATTATCTGCTCGCTGATTTTTATCCCGGTGTGCGAGCCACTGAAGTGTGTTGTTTCCAACACGCAGGACTGGAGCTCCCACTCGCCGTTTATCCAGTGTGCTGTGGTCGTCGCATACGAACGTGTTGCTTTTGATGTCCATATGTCAGTTGTCAGCGACAAGTGGTCCACCGAAGACAACAACTCTTTCACAGCGACGAGCCCGTCATCATGCTGCTTCCGAATCAAAGCGGCGATGTGAGTTGTTGACGGAATGGAGTAGCCCGGTTCTAAATAGTGCAGCAGCTCTCGTAGTCCGGCATCGTTTACGATCGAAATTGGGCGGCCATCAAGCCAAGGCCAACGCGATAACACTTCCGTGATTTCCCGCTGGCGCACAGTAGAAACGGGCCGTGACGAAGCTGGCGACGAGGTTTTCGCAAAGACAGAAATGTCTGTCTGCTTTGTTGACCGTTTAGAGTCCTTTTGTTCAGGAAGGCTTGCCGACGACGGGTGACGGTTGCTCAGATGTCGATGCAAGCTCGTTGTCGATGATCCTTTGTAGGACAACACTGCCTTGCACAAATTACACGTCGCCTGGTCCTTGGCGGCATTGCGAGTGAAGTGCTTCCACACGTTGGATCGCGGAGATCTCTGAAACGGAGAATCCGTAAATGCCTCAGCTTCAACTAAATTTACCGCCATCTCTCTAGATACTTCACTTTGATCTCGACTTCATCGCCATCGGCATTCGCAAGTAAGTAAACAGAAAAGCGAGAGAAATACTTGTATTCAAAATAGGTCCGAGCCTACTACATGCGCTTGTCAAGCGCACACGCGTATACGCTTCCTGTTCGACTTTTGCTACAGCCTACGACAGTGCAGCGCAGTAGACGAGTACAGTACTCAGTAGTGTACAAAAACTTGATCAGGTGAGTAGTAGTACTACGCGTTCGTGTGCCGGATCAGCGGACGTGTACGTCGCTATCAAGTTTTTTTTTTTTTTTTGTCGAGTATCGAGTCCTTTTTTGATATCGAGTCGAGTACTCAACGAGCGGGTACTCGAGTACTCGGCGTACTCGTTTCAGCACTACTTTTGGCTTTTCAATTGGTTGATTCTTGTGCTTTCTCCAGTCATCTCCCCCGCTATTTTCCCTCAGGACCAAAGTCAGAAATTGATAAAAATGGTGATCTGGCCTGCCGACGGAATGCACGGAATGACTGTGCGCAGGTGTAAATCACTCTCAGCTTCAAGCTCGTACCGTGGGGTACACGTGACCTACCCGAATCGTCGGCACGACACTCACGGTACCGTAGTGGGAATCGGCCCTAAGTCATTAGAGAGGTTTTACAAAACGAGAATGCGTACAAACTTTCTCTCTACTTCATGAAGTGAGAAACTTCGCACGAACTGTCACAACTTTGGACGCTAAACTTGCAGGGAACGCGAAACGAACTTTCGTGGGAAGTTTCGTGAGATTGGGTCATGGGGTACGTGGCGTGTGCAAACTACAAAAGTGCGCAACACAAAGTTCGTGCGAAACTTCTTACACACTTTCGCAAGGCCTGTCGTGAAACTTCGTTCGAGTTTTCGTTTTGCAGAACCTCTCTGAATGTATCGTAAGGGCCCGGTCACACATGCACTGGGGTTCCGCTTTGGCGGCGAGGTTCTGCGACAGCGAGACTGGTGTCGCTCCAGCGGAACCACGTGAGTATGGTCACACATACAAACAGCGCAAACTCCTACTTTGGCGGAAAATGAGAGTAAAGTTGACTGTGGTGCATACGGTACGGAGAATAGACTAGGTCAATGACTTTCTTGCACACATTTTTGTTGCATGGACATCATACGCATACAAATTTCTCGTAACAAGTCCATTATTATACAGCAGACCGTGGTGTTTTCCACTGAAGCGAAACCGCAGAAGTGAGAGCTCCGCTCCCAAAAATTGGAGGCAGCGGTTTTGAGTTTCCGTTGGAGCGGAAGTTCCGCTTCTCGCCGTTACCATGGCATTTGTCGCTCCTGCGACGTTGCTTCAGCAGATCCGCTACTTTTGAGTGCATGTGTGACCGGGCCCTTAGGCTGTCCCTCCAGGAATCCGCGGACAGAAAGTTGAAATTCTGCGCGGAATTCTGCAGCACAAATCGCTACATTATGCGGCGGATAGCGTGAATTCCGCGGCAATACTGCGGTATTTCTGCGGCGCTGCACCGGCGAAAAGACATGGCTATATGCTATGTACAAGTATCAATAAAAAATTTAGTTTTTAGTAGTGTAGTAGTAGTAGTTAGTTAGTTAGTAAAATTTAGTGGTCGAAAACACGCGATAGGCTCAATACAGTAACGAAGAAAACTCCCTCGACTTTGAATGCAACAAAAATAGCGACAGGACACTGCACTGTGCATGTGCATGAATATGAAGCGCGTGCTCGCATTGCCCCCCAAACCGTGATTTTTCACGATTCTGCTGTGATGTGAATTCCGCGGGATATTAAAAAAACATGAATTCCGCGGATTTTACCGCGGCCGCGGAATCGCTGATTCCTGGAGGGACAGCTTAGGGTGCGTTCTTAAATCCTCTCGGGAAAGTTCGAGACGTGTTTCTTATATCCTCTCTGAATTTTAGTAGACTCTCCAAAGCTCTCCAAGCTCTCCGAACTTCGGAGGTGGTTGAAACTTGGAGATCCCTGCATTTTGGGGTCAGCGTATGCGAACTACTGCAAAAGCCACGTGTTGATCATGAGTGTATGGCATTCCCTTTTCGCATACGCACAGTGCGTACTACATTTGTGTGACTCAAGATCGTGGCCTCTTTGGCACTTCGCATTTGCAAAAGATCTCCGAATTCTTCGAGAACCGTTCCTAAATTATCCCAGTTTCTTTGACTTCCAGGAGAAATGTCTCCGAGGCTAGAGAAAATATGAACGCACCCTAAGTCTGTTGTTTTGGTTATTTCCTTCTTTCTTGTTTTACGAATTGGGTGCGTGGTTTCAAGTAAAAAGAGTCCATTTTCTTGTTCATGCAATAGCGAACGACTACTTTTCACTTTGTTCGAATCGACTGGATACAGGTAGCTGTTGCAGGACTGGCGGAAGCAGTTTTTGATTGGTCCGGGCATACCATACTGACCAACCACCGAAACCTCAATCCCTTGACAAGACATGCAGAATCCCTGGGTTTCTCTCAAAATCCCTGGATGGCACGAAAAATAAGTGAAAAAGAGCAAAAAAACGTTCGACTCTGCAGATCTGCGTACAGCACAGTTAGACCCTGCAGTGCAGTTCGATAAGTCGGCGTCCACCTGTCACTTTGTCAGTGCAGATCTTGCAGGCTAGGCTGGTCAGGTCTGGAAAGTGCCGCGCACAGTTCGAAGTGCGAATGGGCACCGTACATATTTTTTTGCAAAAACCGGGACATTCGGGGCGAATCCATGGAGTTTTCAGGAAAATCCTGTATCAGACAAACCAAAAAAGTGACTTTTCCGGGAGTTTGCTTGAAATCCCCGGGACCCCGGGAGTAGTGTTGATTTCCCGGGATTCTCCCGGGAAAACCGGGAGGGTTGGCCAATATGGCATACCCTTGTCTTTTATTCAGTTTGTGTACGGTATGGAGGATACACGACCTCCTGAGCACTAAACACACGTTGGTGGCTAAAAAAGTTGGTCCGGCCATGGCCTGACCAACCGGACCGGTTCCACAGGGCCTGATGTTGGCAGTAGTGGCTACATGTGTTGTAGTACGTTATTTTGTGTACGTCATGTTGGTGCATGCGCGTGTTGCTGTGGTGTGAAAAGCAGTCTTCGTCTTGAGTTCATCATGTCTTCGTCTCGAGTTCGTCATGTCTAGTTGTGTTTCCGTCGTCGTCTTGTAATAAACAGTTTTCCTAAATGTAGTTATCGTCGTCCCTTTGTATAAGTGTGGAGATGGCACGGGACTGGGAGCAGGTAGAGAAAAGCGAGTTACAACACATGTACCTGTACTGGGGTATTTCCAGGGCATGCGCACATTGCTTGTCAAGTTTCTAAAGAGTGCGGATAAGAACTCGCTATGGCCAGGTACATGTAATTATAATGATGGTAGTATATTTACTCATATAAGGTTGAGGGAGTTGAACATGGGGAAGTCTGAAACACTTGACTGTCACCACCAGGACTGAGCTGACCTTTGGGTAATCCTGAAACGAGAGAGCTTGGAAGCTCAGGGCCCTACGCTATGCTTTTATGCTTTTTTGCCTAGCTCATCGTACATGTTATAAGAACTGATGGAATTGTCTTTTTCCGTTGATTGGCCACATCACTGTATTGCAAAAACGTTTCAATCGGTTTGAATATTATGAGTTAGGCAAAAGTATTTGCAGAATTTATTGCGGATTGTTGTTTCTCTAATAATCATCTACTTTTGTTTTGCTCCTTCTTTAATTTTTATCTCCTTATATTGTAAATCAACAAATTTTGGCCGATGAGAAATAGAAACCTCTCGATTAGAGAGGTTAAGATGCACGTTATTTCCGACGTGACGCGCAGTTTCACGTCAAATTTGAAATCGATCGGTATTTTTGCTCTCACATGCATCCATTGCTCAATCATGCATCATTTGCCTATATGACAAACGTTGGCCTGCGATTTACTTTGGCCGGTTGGTACCAAGCGGCGAAATCAGCGAAATTAAATCGCCAGCGAACATTAGTTGATTTTACAGGAATCGGATTTTCTGGCCTTTTTGTAGTAATACATGTACATTGACCTGTTGAGCCAATGACGACGCCGAATGCATGGTTGCCTGTGGAGCACATTACATAACTTTACAGTCTCCTAAAATACGTATCCTGTCCGACGGCACAAGAGGCTGCAGATTTAGTTTTTCTGCGCGTCGACGGGATGTCTGCGACGCGAAAGTTCAGCTCGCGTTGTTTGGCTCGCACGTCGAAAAAATCAACGCGAGTGACCTGCTGCTCACGTCGAAATTTGGACATTACATAACTTCACAGTCTCCTATATAAATACGTATCCTGTTCGACGGCAAAAGAGGTTGCAGATTTAGTTTTCTGCGCGTCGACGGGATGTCTGTCCTGACGTTTACTGGGACCGGCGCTGACTCTGCCGATCACGGGCGTTCTGGACTCGACGGGATGTCTATCCTGACGTTTCCTGGGACCGGCTTAGACTCTGCCGATCACGGGCGTTCTGGACTCAACGGGATGTCTGTCCTGACGTTGCCTGGTACCGCCGGACTCTACCGATCACGGGCGTTCTGGAGTCGACGGGATCTCTCTTCCGACGTTTCCTGTGACCGGCACTGAATCGCTCGTTCACGCTTATTTTGGAGACGACGGGATCTCTCTTCCAAAGTATGTTTATGCTGACGCATGCTATCACCCAATCGGCGTCTATTCTAATTTAATTTCCTCCTCGTCTCCCTATTTCTTTCCAAATCCCACTCTACATCAGGGAGTCGTATGCATAATACGACGAATATTGGTACGGTACGGGACAGATACAGGAGCCCGCAAATATTGTGGACAGCTGTTATGTACAATCCTGTAGAGCCTTTGTAGTCACAGATACGGGACAGACACGGGATAGCGCCAGGCATGACACAAACAAACAAACAAAAAAACAAACACACACACAAATACCAAATTAAAGCTGTGTGGACCCTGGCTAGCGCCAGACGTTACTGAAGTAACGTCTTCTGCATAGCTACGG